AAAGGTGCGGGATTACAGGCTGAGCCACCGAGCCCGGCCATTTTTTTTTTTTTAATTGGAGTCTCATTGTCACCTAGACTGGAATGCAGTGGCATGCTCCTGGCCACCGCAGCATCGACCTGCTGGGCTCCGGCAATCCTTTCGCCTCAGTCTTCCAAGTAGCTGGAAATACAGGCGCGCGCTAACACGCCTGGCTAATTTTTGATTTATTGTAGAGATGAGTTGCCCAGGCAGGTCTCAAACTCATGGGCTCAGGCAATCCACTCACCTCGGCCTCCCAAAGCGCTGGGATTACAGACTGAGTCACCGAACCCGGCTTGGGATTTGAATCTTGTACAATTTTGCATAATTGTAGGGCGACACACACTCAGTGACAACACGAGCACATCCTGAATATGGCCCCAAGCAGGGGGGCTGGAGCTTGGGTAGGGGTCCTAGGAGTGGCCAACCCCAGATGTCCTCTTCCCCTCACGCTCCATGCCTGATCACATAGGTCATGCTGAGGCCATGGGCCAAGTGTGGTCTGTACCCTCCAACCACCTCTTGCAGGTATGCAGAGTGAATGTTCTTGTGCATGTCTTTGTGGCCCCCAGGGCTGGTTCATATCAGATTAGGCACACCTAGATCAATGCCCGTAACTTTTGGTTACCTTTAGTTCACTATAATCCTAAAAATCCCACCCCTAGGGTGTGCTCGTGTAGTCACTGTGTGTGTGTGTCGCCCTACAATTATGCAAAATTGTACAAGATTCAAGTCCCAAAAATTCAACGCCATTTTGTATACAAGGGACATACATATAAGTGCATTCTCATACTGCGCCTGCGTACTAAAAACTACCCTTTTCAGCTTAACCCTGCACTCTGCCCTGTTTAAAATGTTATACTATTAAAAAAAAAAGTTATGCTATAACTTGTGTGCCTTTTACAATCAGGAGCGATTTTTTCCTGTCCGTCTGACCTCCCTCTAAATTCTCGAATAAAGTTTATGTCTCATCCGTTGTCTCTGGGTCATTTCTTATGGCGGGACAAAAATAAAATTATACAGGAAAAGAATACAACATTTTCTTTGTTTTGTAAATAGGACCATGTGAACACATTGTTAGGACCCCTCTCCTGGATTTTGGAAGGGACCTGTGAAAGTGAGGGATCCTCAAATTCAGTTTTCACTGGCTCGACAGTTAACTACCTATAATTACAAATAATCTTTTTTGGGTGGGCACGGTGGCTCACATCTATAATCCTAGCACTTTAGGGGGCCGAGGTGAGAGGATTGCCTGAGCCCACTGGTTGGAAACCAACCTGGGCAACTTGGTGAGACCCTGCCTCTACCACCAAAAAACAAAAGAAAAGAAAAGAAAAGAAAAAGAAAAAAAATTAGCTGGTAGTGGTTGCTTGTTCCTGTAGTTCCAGCTACTTGGAAGGCTGAGGTGGAAGGATCGCCAGAGCCCAGCAGGTCGAGGATGCGGTGGCCATGAGCATGCCACTGCACTCGAGCCTGGGCAACAGAGTAAGACTCAAGTAAAAATTTTTTTTTTTTTTTACTGTTTGAAGTATTTGTTAATTGTTGATTTATCAAGAGAAACTACTGCTTAGCCCACATAGCATGCTTCATAGTTCAGGAGCACAGCTCACTGACAGACTTCCATGAAATTCAACCCAAAGAAATTCTTTATATTCTCAAATCACTTTGCACTCTGAAAGATACCAGCCTTCCTCATCTCCTCAAAATCTTTCATGGAATCATAATTTCTGTAGGAATCTGCATATGTCTTTTTTCTTGGTTCAGCCACAACAAATTTATAGAAAGCTGCAACCCCCAGGGATACAATGAATGCTCCAACAATATGAAACCTCAGATGTTTGACCAGAAGGCCATGCATCTGAGGTTTCATCAAAGCACCGGAAGCCATGGTAGTTACTGTCCTCGACAGGTGTGTCAACCTCAACACCAACGTCCTTCCTGAATGATGGAGAAATGCAAAGCCATAAATAATCTTACAATAAACATATGAGCATGTATTTTCCCCAATTTTTCATTATTTCTCAAGAATTCCGAGTTACTATGACATCATTCACTCTGAAGGAGGAAATGATCATTTATTGAGCACCTATTATATATCGGGCAGTGTCTATGTTATTTAATTTAATCTATATTACAAGCCTGAAGGAGGTATTAGCCCTTAACTTGAAGAGTCCTGCCCTGGTTCTTGGGGGGAAGAACATTGAAATCAATGATGGCTGAACTTTTTCAGGCGAATCTAGGAGAAAGTGATCTGGCTGTTTCTGTGGTCTGCTTATGGAGCTTCATCACCTTCGGTTCAGCCTGCATTTCTTGGAGGGAGCAGAAATCTGAAGTCAAAGACCCGGGGTGAGTCCAGGTCCTGCTAGTCACTAGCTTGAATGGCCTTAGGTAAGTCATGAACCTCTCGGTTCTCCTTTTCCTCCTGCATGCAATGAAGACAATAAGTAACAAAACCTGTCTTACCCCAGGGTAATTTTATGTATCAAATCTTACAATGCATGTGCAAGCACTAATACACTCCGAAGTCACTGACACTGAGATATTTGTAACATGGTGGTCGTATTAGCTCCACTTTCTTGCCCATCTGCCCCCAGGTAAGGGCGTGTGACAGCCAGGCAGAACGCACCTGATGGCTCCACAGGGTTAACTCTCGGAGCGCCTCGGCTCAGACTGCAGTCTGCCGGGTGATTTCAGGGTGCGGCGGGGCCATCACTCCCGGGTGCCCAGGGCACTGGGAGCAGCAGAGGCGTGGCAAAATCTCAGATCCGACATACATTCTCCCCTTCCCAATCTAAAAACTCATCACCAGAGCGTGGCCAACCTTCATTACCCCATGGAACTTGTAAAAACCCTAAATACAGTCGTGCCCAATGCCCAGCTACCCCTTCACTCATAGATGCTGACGCATTTGTCTCCGTTTTGTCTCTGCCGGTTCAGAAACCTTTGGTCCTTGTCGGGCTTAATCCAGGGAGAAGCCAGGAGAAAACACACACGCCGGCTCCGAATGGGCGTTTGCGCCTCCCGCACCGACCCGCGTTTCAAGCCGGCGTCACCAGCGGTTCGTTTTCGTTTCTCCCGAGAAAGGAACGCCGAAGCCAGTTCCGACCCGCAGAGCGAGCCCGCCTCCCC